ACTTTTGGCAAGTACCTTTAAACTGAAAAAGAATTTGGGAGTTGTACAGAGAAAAGAGCTTTGCAGGAACAAAAACTGAAATGTCATCTCATTGTTTAAATCAAAGATCAGCAAAACACTCCCATTGTTTGAAACATACACACACACACACACACACACAGAGAAAGAGAGAGAGAGAGAATATGGTTCTTTCTAATAAAATGCACATTCAGCCACAGAAAATAGCAACTGCAGATTTATCAATAGAATTTGCCAGTTTCTTTCCTGCAACCCTTGGAATGCTTTGTCACTTTGTCATACTTTGTCATGTATGATCTGTCATTGAAAGGCTCTTGACTGTTAGAGAGTAAGTCAAAAATCAATCTCACCATCATCCTGTCTTTGAAACTGCTGGGCAGAGACTTAAGTCCAGTGAAGACAGCTTATTCCACCAATCTTCCCCAGGCCCTCCAGGTGAGTTGGACTGCAACTCCCATCACCCCAGCTAGCATTTATGGCCCAGACACATTGGAAGGACACCAGGTCGAGGGAGGTGCTCAGTCAATCAATCCAACCCAGACAAAGGCAGCCATGGGACCTCCAACATCAAAGGGTCCTCCAAATTTCAGTTAAACGCTAGGAAGCCTTCCATTCAAAAAGAAACATCTACAGGACAAATTGACTGCCGGTTTTCCTTCACGTTTTAGGAGCACAGGTCCTTTTCCTTTGTGGCTGGTCCTTTTCTTTCTGCTGTCTTTCTCTCCTAAGGTCGCCTTAGATTTAGACGGTGGGTTCTATTGTTTGTTTCCCAGAGAGAACGTCCAAGGAATTCCTGCACCCAGCAGGTCTCCCTCCTTCCATGAGATGGCAATTAATACTGCCAGCGCCAAGGTCGACGCCCCTCCAATTTCCCCTCCTAGGCTTAGGCGTGCTCGAGATCGGATCTTTTTGGTTAAGAGGGGGAAAGCCCCTGCCTTATGTAAGGTGAGCACCAATTAACAATAATTAACAGTAATTAACAAATTAAGAGAGTTTTTGCCCATTCCCATGGCTCGTGGGATGGTTCCAGATAGCGCCCTCTGGCAGGTCGGATAGAAATAGTTATTGCTAATAACAAAGCGGCGACTTCGCCTGCCCTTTGCCGAGGCTCGTTTTTTGCCTCTTTTTCCCGTCCCCAGACCCGGTTGCATTTGCCAAACGGACTACTGAAAAGCCGCCTTCTTCTGTGGCAGCCTTCAAACGGATCCCCACCTCTTTTTGCGTATATGGTGCCGCGAAGGCAAGAACAGCCAGGCGCTATTCCAACCCAGTACAGTACACATTTCGTTAGCCGAATAAAAAAACGCTTTAAGTCGCACGCTGGTCTCGGCTGCTGCTCAATGCGAGAAAACCTGGCACGGGCGACGGCGCGTGAACTGCTAAATTTAGATGGCCGGGGGGCCTGATCAGATATTATTAGCCGTCGCATTCGGGGGAAGCTACATGCGCACCACATACGGGCAGACCCCATAAGCACCACCAAAGCGGCTTTCACTCTGCAACGACGGCTCTTCGGGGGGAACCGCAGGGCGACGCCCACCCAAAGTAAGTACTTACACCACTAGCCTGGAGATGATCCAGGAAACCATGGCGCTGCAGGACTCCGGTGACAGCAAGGCGGGGATCGGATTTTCCCCGGGCTCGAGTCGGTCCGCCCGCAGTCGCTAGAATGAGCAGAGCAGGCGCCTCAGCCATTCGGCATCCAGCGCGCAGCCTCACTAGGGAGCGGCCGGAAACAGCAGCAGGCGCTCGCTCAGACGTGGGATCCTGACCTCGCCCGCGAGGCTGGGATTGCTTTGGCACCTGTTCTCGGGATCTCTGTCTGTCCCCCTGCTATGCCTCTTCCTCGGAGGAAGGGCGAGTCGCTCAAGTGGCCGGTCCTCAGGTTACCATCCTGTGCCCGAATTGGAGATGGGCGACGAAGACAAGCGGACCCTTTGCTTTCAAGACTGCAGCGGGTGGCCATTCCGAAGCAACTGATACGCCTGGCTAAGACAGTCGTCACGCATCACACGAAGCCATACCTTGTTTTAACCGTGTGTCGTTGAACGAACTACTGTGTACGGCCTAGATTTCAGCTACAGATGGAAGTTGCTATTGCACACTTCTCAGAAGTAACCCCAGTATTGCAACCTCTAAGGGCACACACCAGCTGGGTTTTTCACGCTAGGCCATGGTTTATCAAGCCATTGTAAAGGTACAGGGTTTACCAAGAAATTGTAAAGTGTAAAGATGCACTTATAGATCACTTTCAAAGCTGGTGAAGAATATTAATTTGTAACGTCCTTAATTCTAAGGCAGTTATAAGTAATTTTCTATTACATAAGGCTCTCAAGTCCCATTCTTTTTGGGACCATAAACAGAATGGAGAATAGAACAGAGGATCTGTGCCAGGAGTTGTTCTGTTGCCTCAGTTTCCTGAAGGTGGCCTGTCGCTTCCATCAGCCTCTGATGATCCTCTGAGTTCAAGATGGGTGATGGTAAGAACTTGTCCTTTGGCACTGATCTGAATACTCCTGCGTATCCTCATCAAATAATTTCTAGCACCCATTTGTCTCTGCAAGTCTATTCCCAGGTGTGCCCAAATCTTTTAAGCTGTCCACTCACCCACAGCATCAGATAGTGGCTTTTTCCCTCTAAGATTTTCCCTTTCCTGTTGCATCCATCTTTTGATGATGAGAATAATACTTCATAGTCACTGTACTGTTCTTGTTGAATTTATTCAGCACTATCCCAAAAACTATTATGTGCATGCAACCTCATTACTTCTGAAGCTCTGCATATTCTGTGCATATCTGTCTGTTAAAGAAAGATAAAGCAGGTTCATGGTACAGCCCTACTAGCATTTCAGGAAGGAAAAAAAACCACATGGTGAAGTAGATAGGAATACAAACATGGGAGTGGCATCAAGCATTTTATTTAAAAAATGAAGATTATATGCAATGACAGGGAGCAAGCTCATCATTTTGCCTTCTAGTAACTGAGTATATTGTGACTGCACATACTCTCTCTGGTAACTGCTTGAAAATTGGAAAACATTCACACACAAACACACACACACACACACACACACATATGTACACATGCCCAGGGCTATGCAATAGCCATTTTCTGAGAGCACTTATAACATGATCTCAAAACTCCAAAGAGGAAATTTGAACAAAAAAGGAAAGAAATGCTCCTTTAATTATCTCGGTCTTCAGGATGCCAGCTAAACTTCCCTAGGCCTCTTGGGTCTCTCCCACATTATTTCTTCAGGCCCTGGGCAATCTGTCCCCTTTTACTACAGGCTTCCAACCCACAAGTCTTGCTTGTGCAATCCTCAGGAGACAGGTGCCATCATCCGCTGTGCAAAAGGCCTTAAGGATGGGTCTTTCCAGTTGTAAATCTGATTAGAGAAGTCAGATGGCAGAGCCCTAGGTTGCAAATATTGTATAGGACGATATACTGTATTTAAAAGTGTTATTTTTATTGTGATTGTAACTGTATCATAATGTATATTGATTGTATAGTGTTTGTTAATGTTTACTTTTGTTTTAGCTTAAGGGTTAATTTTGATTGTGGTTGGACCACGCCTTGGTGGGGATCATGCTATTAAAAAATATCTGAGGTTTCCTTTTGAGCTTCTGAAGCCTTCCTTGTTCCACTTCAGGGAGGGGGCTGTTCTAATGGGCCTGGCCAGGCCTTCCAACACGCCTTCTCACCACACTCACACCTGCTTTTGCCACAACCGACGGAGGTTATATAGTTGGAGAAATCTGGATCCCAAGAGATGTCCCTTCCAATCTGGGCCCGTCTTCCAGGCAGTTTTGGCGGAGCAGCCGTCTTTCGTGGCCTCTGCCATGGCGAACGCCTCCTCCACGGGATGCCTCCTGCTGCTGCTGCTGCTGCTGCTGCTGCTTCTAATGGTGCTTGTGCGGACCTTAAGGGCCCCTTTCTTTGACCCTGGCTGCTCTCCCGGTCTCTCAAGGAAGAGCCCCTGCAACAGCAGCCCGCTTTTGCACCGCTGCCTGAGACTGCCGTTGGCGCTCTTCCTCGCACCCGGCAAGTCTCCCTCTTCAGTCGGGCGGCTACGAAAAGCACCGCGGCAGGGATAAGCCATCCCCCGCCTGGTCCGCGGGGGCGGTCGCCGGGTCGTCCTGTTTCTTTTCCAATTCCTGCCGCGCCGCCGTATCCCCGTGGAAGTACCCGGCGGCGGCGTCCGGGACACGAAAGCAAAAGCCGTCGAGCATTCCGCGTGTTCCGAAGACGCGCGTCCCAGTGCAGGCTTTGGGAGGACGCTTTCCCGGGCTGTCTCCGCCACGTCGCTTTGCCGGTCTTCCCCCAGGTCTCCCGTCTGCTCTTGCACGGCAACGGCTTGAGAAGTGAGACGCAGCCTTTGCGCTCGGGGAGGAACGGCAGAGCAGGCAGCGATAGCCCCCGTCCTGCAGCCGATGCCACGCCAGCGCTGTCGGCTGGGCGGGGACAAGACAGCCCCGGCCGCCGCTTATATGGCAGTCCGTCGATTAGTAGCGTTTCTCAACCTCAGCAAATTTTAAGGTGTGTGTACTTCAGCTCCTAAAATTCTCCAGCCAGTTTGCTGCTTGCTGGCTGGGGAATTCTGGGAGTTGAAGTCGGTACATCTTAAAGTTGCTGAGGTGGAGAAACACTGGGTTAGGGGTCACAAACTGTCCTGTCGTGGGCATATGGAGGCATTTGGCTGGGCAAGAGGCAGGCTGGGAGGGCTGTGGCAGACCTTGTTTCGCCAAATCAAATTCCAATTTATTCCTTTACTTTTACTAATTTCTTTTTTAGCACACGCACTTTTATTAATGGAGACATCAGTTATATAATTATAGCATTTTCGCATTAGCATTGTTTGTGTTCAGTGATTTAATTAATTGCTTATTAGGTGTCTTTCTTCCTTAATAAACCTTTAATAGTCTAGGCAGAGTGGTTTTTTCTGGTTTGCAGATTTCATGGGCAACCTGAAAGGTGGGTTCTGACCTGCCACTATTGAGCCCCTCCCATCTGCTTGGACCACCCCTCCCAGAATTTATAAACAACTGTTACCCCCAAATCCAGAACTGCCTCCAATTATGCTATTTTTGCCAGCCGGCTAAAGCCCTCAAACTGCCAGGTCAAGACTATCTAGGCTGACTTGGTGAGGGGGTGCATGGAAATAATAATTTCCAAATATTTGTTCTTCACCCAGCAGCTGTCCCAGTTTACCAGACCATGGTAGGAAAACAACTGTACTTATTTTGCAACTGCAAATCGTAAACATTTAATCGAGTGTGGTGCCTCCCTAGCAAACAGGTTGAGTGAAGGATCTCCACAGTAGAAAGCAACCTAAACCCTAACGCCGAAGAATATGCAAATAGAATAGCTAAGGGTTTCCATGGTGAAATCAGGCTATCGCAAGAAGTAACAGTTTCTGCTACTGACTTTTAGGTTTCAAGGCTCCCCCGGTCATGATCTTGCTTTTACATTTTGCAGAACTTGCTTAATCTCCCATTTAGAGTTAGCCTAACTAACCCCATCCTTAAATTCCATAATAGGGAGGCCGCATGCTGCTTTAAAAGGTTTGCAATAATGGAATAAAACAAAAAGTTTGTACAAAGGAAGGTTCCAAACTTGAAACCTGTGTCTTTAGGAACTTTTCTTAAATAAATCTAAAAAATACAGAGGTTGGTGGCCATACGAGAACTTGCATGGAGGTACTAAGGGTACACCACTGCATATAAAAAGGAGTTCTGAAGTACAGATTTTGCCTGGCTGTCTACCCTGTTTTCTTCCATTCAATGCTTCCTCACAACCATGGTGACATTTTTTGGTAGGATTGTGTGCAGCTTTTAAAACCACATATTATCAGTACAGAAGGAGGCGGGAGGAAATGGTTATAATTCAGTAATGAGTGAATCAACAGCTCTGTGGACGCTTGCTTCAATATAAACTCTTATGAAGATCAGAGGTAAATCCATCTTTTGGCAGACTAAACTGATTTCAGGCCCCTTATAGCTGGAGGCTCACTAGATAGAAAATTTTCTGTATTTCTGCTATCATCCAACGGTCATCTGATCTGGATCTGGTTGCTCTACCAATTACTGTACAGTATACCAAATACCATTTACACAGAAATCAGCACACTTCATGGGACCTAATGCTTCTCTCTCTCTTTCTTTGTTTTAATTTGTGGGATTCTATTCTTAAACATTCATTTAGGCATGTTATATTTAAATATATCTACTTGTATTTACACATTATATATTCCTTTATCTATAGTTTTATTATCTAAAAGTTTAGAATGGTATAAATACACATCTATTTTAAATCCAGTTTTGCTAGTTGCTAAAACTTAGAATACTGAGTTGGAATGTCAAAGTTATGCAGAATACAGGTAGTCCTCACTTAACAATAGTAATTGGGACTAGAATTTCCATCACTAAGAAATGTGGTCGTAAAGTGCGATGTCATGTGACCGCATCGCTTAGCGACAGCAATCCCAGCAGTCTCTCGTTCTGTCATTAAGCGAGGATCACAGGTCATTAAGTGAGGACCTCCTCAAAACTTCTTGCCAGCTTCCAACAAGCAAAGTCAATGGGGAAGCCAGCAGGAAGTTGCAAATCCCAGGTGGCTTGCAAGCAGGCCAGCAGGCGGGTAAGTGGGTGCTGCAGTGCGGTGCAAGTGCAGCCGAGCCATGGGTAGCTGCTGCCAGGTGGGGGAGGGTGTGCAGGGGGCTGCTGTGTGCAGGGAGTGCTGCAGGTGTGTGTGCTACAGAGTACGAGATCCCCGGGATCTCATATTCCGTAGCCAGGCTTCTTGGGACAAAAAGCCATGGGAGTGCAAGCAACTTGCAGAAGTGTCTTGCAACCTTCCCTGCTGTCTTCCCCATTGACTTTGCTTGTAGGAAGCTGGCAGTAAGGTCACAAATGGCTATCATGTGACCGTGGGATGCTGCAATCATCGTAAGTGCGAACTGGCTGTCAAGTGCCTGGATCATGATCACGTGACCATGGGGTGCTAGGACAGCAGAACTTCAAGGACCAGTCATAAGTACTACTTGTTCAGCACCATCGTAACTTTGAATAGTCGCTGAATGAGTGGTTGTTAACTGAGAACTACCTGTATTGTTAAGCATAGAAAATTATTTGAAGTGATAAGTAGATACAACATTGATGTTACATATTTTCTTTATATATATAAGGACTGTTTTACGCAAAAAGTCCATAAGCGGTTTCCAG